AGGCTATGTGTATAACGTGTATTTGAAACATAAATGAATTTCGTGTTTAGACTTGGGTCCCATCCCTAAGATATCTCATTATGTAGTATATGTAAACATTTCAAAATCTGAAAAAATCCAAAATCCCAAGCTTTTTGGATAAGTGATAACACAACTTGTATTATATTTATTTGTTTATTGAACAAGTATTTATTAAGTGCCCACTGTGTGCCAGGCTCTCAGTGTAGTTGATCAGAGCACATCCCTGCTCTGACTGGTTGCCTTGTTCATGTGTACTTCAGTAGTTTATAAGTGGAATGCGATTTACATTTTTATTTTCCTTACTAATACGTTTTTTTTTCCTATAGCTAAGAGCTCTGTCTCACATTTTAGAAACACCAATAGAGATAATACAGGCAGATTCTCCTCCTATTGTAGTTGGTGAAGAATATCCAAAAAAACCATTAATACTTGTGTAAGTACCTAGAAATTTTTACTGTTTTATTTTTCATAATTAGAACAAAAAGGAATATAAAAGATTTTAGGTTGTATATGTTGATTAATCAAAATAACTATCTTCAGCTGAGTTAATTCTTCTTTTATGTTAAAGGTAGTTATAGAACTAGAAAGCATTGTCAAAATATGTGATTTACATAATTTTGTAAGCTCTAGTGATTTATTATTGTGTATGAGTTAAGAATTAAGTCATTTCTGAAGGTTACAGAATTTTAGGACTGGTTTGTGTGTTGTCCTGGTTTGACATTTAATCATGCTGAAAGTTTCAACAAGTGTTAAAGTGAGATATATCACGTTGCCTATTTATTCCTTAGAGATTTTTTCATCACATCGTGAAAATATTTTACATGATTGAGAAATCTCTTCTGAAACACAGCATAGAGGGTTTGCTATCGGGTCTAGTGTTTATTAACTAAACCACTAAGGTAGTCAGTCATTAATGGCTATGATTTAGGTGAAAATTTAAGGTTAGTGGGCACTCACCATCTCAGCCTTTCCATTTTCCCTCCAGTGATTGAACCTGATCTTGCTGACTGCTGGTACTTTTCAGATAGTGTTGAGCTCTTAATTAATACATCCATATGGTCTATTGAATGATACCCCTGTGACCTAAGTCATTCAGAGTGTTTGGTTTATATACATACTAAGCATTTATATACAATAAATTACTTTCATGAAAACTACTCATTTCTTCTTTTTTCATTTCAGATATATGAGACACGCATATGGCTTAGGAGAACATTATAATTCTGTTACACGGTTGGTAAACACAGCTACTGAAAATTGCAGCTAGTTTACAAAATGTTACACAATTATGTTTTAGCTTATGGTTGCCGATCTAAGTATTCCTACCAAGTACTGAATTGTTCTGAATGCTACTGAAAAACACAACTACCTTGAATCAGTTTTATGGCAAAGCTACTTACTCATAGGCTTTTTAGAAATATATCAAAGATGAACTTTAACCAGTGTCCTTTTAGTGGAATTTTAAAAACTTGTAAGCCCATTGTGGAAAACATCATTCATAGACCAAGATGGTAGCCTATTCGCTGATACTTTTATTTATGTTGGATCTTGGATATTCTGTTCTGTATTGGAATATTTAAATGTTTTTAATTTTTCCCCCTTGTTACCAAAAGCTTTTGGAATAACCATTTCAATGTAATTATTCTTGAAGAAGTGAAATGACTTAGTCTTTTTGTCATTGCAATAACGTATTGTGTTAAATTTAATTAATGCTTATAAAATGAAATTGATTGCAGTAACCTTGGTATTGATGGGATTAATGCAGTGAAGCTTGTTATATAGCACTCATCAAAGTGCATGCAGCTAAGAAACTTGCTTTAATAATTAAGAATTTTTAAATATTTATTCAGCTGGGAATCAGTTGTTTAAAGAAATGAGACAAATTCAAAGGGAAATAGGTGTTCTCTGTCAGATTTAAAAGTCTAAATAGTGATTAGTCTTTTATTTGGGTGTAAAAAAGGCCTAATAGATTACTGTCTTTCTAATTTATTTGTTATTCTTTAGTGTTTCTTAAACTTCACACTGGGGTTAGTACCATCATCTCTTGATTTCTTTTCATAACTCCACTTTTTTATATTTTCCGCTGTGTTCTTTCCATCACCACTCAGCTGCTTTGCTTTCCTTACTACCTTTTTCACTAAGAAACGTTTTGTGCCTCTTTTATTCTTTAGCTTGTACAAGTTGAGGGAATGGCAGTGTAAAATGTCCAAGGCCGCATTTACTTAAAATTTTTCTTCTTTTACAATTCATCTTACATCTTCAGACATCTTCATTCTCTATGATTTTTTTTTTTGTGTGCTTCATTGTCTAAGATTAGAAGAAAACCTTTGTTACTTGTTATTTTATTAGCCTGATTAATGTCACTTTTCCTTCACTTCAAATATTTGAAAATTTTTATGTTGCATGTATGGATAAAGTTGAAAGCCACTATTTGGGAGCTAAGACCTGCATAGTTAAATCAGTACACAGTATTTTTCTATGTGAATGATTTATTCAGCTCAGACTTCAGGTTACTCATAACAGTATTCTCTCTAAGGAGATTGTAGCTATATATACAAATGTGTCACATAATTTGTTATGTAAGGAAATATTATGAAAATGAGACTTTTTTGGTTTGATCTATTTTTCCCAAATTAGTTATATAACTAGTAAGATTTAGCATCAAGTTTATAACATTTGAATTTTTGCTCCATGAATACAACTAATTTTTATAAGTAAGTATTTATAATATTAAAAATGGGGTATCAGTCTCACATGCCCAGCAGGTGACAGTGTGGGGCACTGGTAGGGGCTGTGGCCAATGAGAGCAGGAAGAATTTTCTACTTCTGAAGACATTCTACTCATGAGATTAAAAACCATTCTGCCTGCCAAACAAAATACATTCAGAAGGCTGCCTGCTTTATAACCCTTGATCTGAATTTTTG